TTAGTCCAGAAAGATATGCACTTTGTTCATTCCAGGAACCCAGGAAATTGAAGTTTTTGAGGATTTTAGCACGTGCATTGAAATCAATCTTCTCAGAACATTTCAATCTTGTGCACTTGCAGTCCGGGCCTGATTCATGACTTTGTAAACGAATTTTCTTGGAAACCTCCAACACACGACCCGTAATTTTCCGTTTTTTAGTAAGTTTTTCACTTTTTTTACCGATTTCTTCGTCACTGCTAATAGACGCCATGCTCGCACATTCAAAGCAGAAACGAAACTAAAAGATCTGCGTCATTCTCACAGCAATAATTTGTGACTTTGCACGTTTTTATCTGGTATCGCGTTGACTTGGCACGTTTTTTCCCTGTATACAATTTTAACAATCGTAGCTACCTGCTGACGAAGACTGTTTATTCCTAGTATTGATGTTTGAGATGATAATATAGGTCATAAGCGTGTGATTGGCAAGGTTAACTCAATTCAGGGCAAAAACTGACTTTGCACGATTTTTCCCTGTATTCTTCATTTACTATGGTTACTGTTTGATTTCAGTAGTTTAATAAGCAATGAGATTATTTGAGAACCCGCCTAAGAGGCTAGGTCTTGGTCTGTCAATTGTTGGAACTGTCATCTGTCATTTTCAAATTTTGTGGTGGTAATCGGGATTGTTCAAATTATTTCTATTTGTATCAGAATTATTCTTCATTGAAAATGTATACAGACGAAAGTGACATTGAAGATGTTCCTATGGGCACACCACCTGAAATATTGCAATTAACAGTCACAGCTTCAGACAAATTGCTGCCACAAAAATCTCGGACTCAATACGAACGTGCAGTCAATCTTTTTATGGAAGGGCGGAGGAAGAAATAAACAGTTTCATTCTCAGAGAATGTGTTCAGTTTATAGTAACCTAATAAAAAATACAATTGTGTTGTTTTAATATGAGTTCGTAGAAAAAGTATAGTATGTAACGCGTTTATAAACTCCTTTAGACACTCGTTTATTACTCATACTAATACTCATACTCAAACTTATAATTTATTGATGCTTATACACAAAATGCGTTTACACAAGTCAAGACTACAAATCAAAAATTGCATATAAAAATACTTACAGATATTCAGAATCAACAGTTAAATATAAAATACAAATTGAGACCTGGTATATCAATGGACAGTGCAATATAAATTGAAATATCAAGTTAAAAATCAATTTTGAGGATTTAGCGATATAAAAACAATTAGTTCCAAGTAAAATTGAGGAATTCTTATTTGTTTGTCGTAGAAGGGATTCCTCAGCAATACGTCTTGCACCGTTCCCCCGAACATTTTATCAGAAAGTGCTCTTACACTTTCCGGCAATTTATTGAAAAATTTCAACGCCCAATAATTTGGTCCACTCCGACACCTTTCTAGCCTCCACAGAGGTACCAAGAGCTGCTCCCTGCCTCGATTGCCGTGCTGATGCATTTCGCCAGCCTTCAGGTTACGGTCTAAGTTGTATTTGATGTATAAAAGGTTTTCAAATATGTACATATTTGGAAATGTTAATGTTTTATTATCAATGAAAGCATCTCTTCAATCATCCTGATGCCCAAGGCAGTTCAAAATCCGCACGGCCCTACGCTGCAGGGAGAACACTCTGCGCCACTGTGGGGCATGGCCCCAAGCAACAATGGCATAGGACACCAGTGAGTGAAATAACGCAAAGAATGCAGTTCGCAACATGAAAATGTCACTTTTTAAATGCTTTGAAAGATACTCTATATGGGTGTCTCACCGAAGACCAGTGTCGAGATGCACCACCAAGAACTTTGTTGCCTCGCGGGAGAGTGTGCAGTCCGTAGGTACTTCTGTCAAGGAGAATATCATATCATCATACTCGTCTTCGAGTTGTTCAGTATAAGACTATTGTTTTGAAACCAGTTTTCAGCCCTCGACTGCGTCCCACAGACCTCATCCATCAAACTTGCCAAGTCAGAATTGTGGTGTCATCAGCGAACAGGACAGATCGTTCTGTATTGCCTATACAAGGTAGGTTTTTAATGTAAATTAGGAAAAGTAGTGGTCCCAGTATGGACCCCTGGGGAACTCCTATATCGACTACTCCTGCCCCTGACGTCACCCCATCAACCACAACTCTTTGGACTCTATTTTTCAAATATGAATTTATGAGTTCAATGCTATCCACATCACTGCAGCTTTCTGATGAGCAGTTCATGTGACATACAGTCAAATGCCTTACTAATATCACAGAAAACAGTGCCAGTATGCTATCTGTTTTCAAAACCATCCATCATGAAGGCAACCAAGTTAAATATGCCGAGCACGGTACTGCGACCGCCGCGGAACCCAAACAGTTGTTCGCTAAGCATTACATTACACTAAGCCTTAGGCCATATTGCCATTCGATGGTCTCTACAACTACACAATACTAAGTATACAGGGGAAGCTCATGAGTTCAACACTATACTTCCTCTACAACTGCACAATATATGTGGCTTCAGGGGAAGCTCGTGAGTTCAAGACTATACTTTCTCTACAACTACACAATACTAAGTATACAGGGGAAGCTCGTGAGTTCAAGACTATACTTCCTCTACAACTACACAATACTAAGTATACTGGGGAAGCTCATGAGTTCAAGACTATACTTTCTCTACAACTACACAATACTAAGTATACAGGAGAAGCTCGTGAGTTCAAGACTATACTTTCTCTACGACTACACAATATATGTGGCTACAGGGGAGCTCGTGAGTTCAAGACTATACTTTCTCTACACCTACACAATGTATGTGGCTACAGGGGAAGCTCGTGAGTTCAAGACTATACTTTCTCTAAACCTACACAATATATGCGGCTACAGGGAAAGCTCGTGAGTTCAAGACTATACTTTCTCTACAACTGCACAATAGATGTGGCTTCAGGGGAAGCTTCTGAGTTCAAGACTATACTTTCTCTACACCTACACAATGTATGAGGCTTCAGGGGAAGCTCGTGAGTTCAAGACAATACTTTCTCTACAACTACACAATAATCTGGCTTCAGGGGAAGCTCGTGAGTTCAAGAATATACTTTCTCTATAACTACACAATATATGTGACTACAGGAGAAGCTCGTGAGTTCAATACTATACTTTCTCTACAACTACACAATATATGAGGGGCCGAAATAGTGACGAATACTTGGAGGATTCTCATTATCATTATTTAAAACAAGATGTATACAGGGGAAGCTCGCGAGTTCAAGTCTATACTTTCTCTACAACTACTCAGGATGGAGTAAAGGAGCAACAAGAGTTCTGCCGCATTTGAACACTTTTTCCCATGTATTTCTTATGGGAGCTTTCCAAGGTTAGAAATAGCAAAATTGGCTCTTTTTTGGGGTGGGGGAAGCAAAAGACATTATCTACATATATGGTCATTTATTCATAATAAAATTTTCATTATACAATATTATCAGGTTAGGTTAGGTTAGGTTAGGTTAGGTTCCATCATAATTCAATATTATTAAATAGCATAGTGTCCCCATGGTAGAGTACAGTCAGTACCAGGAATGATATATCTCTTGTCGTCATTTGGACTCAGAGCAATTTTCTGTTGTACTATAGAATACACTTGATGTTTATCAGCCTTAATCAAATTTTGAGTGACAGCTTTCTCCTTCCAATTGTCCAAACACTCGATATAGTCAGCAAAGGTTATAGATGTCGCAACAACAGATTTCTTCACACCCTTCGCCTTTTTCGTAGTTTCCAAATTTCTCAGAATTGAATCTATTTCTGAATCGTCATAATCTTCCTTCTTCAGTTTTTCACGTTTCTTCATAATATCATCTGCAGTAGTTGAAATTCTGGTCGAGTAAAGTTCTGATATCAGACCAACGTAATCAGTCATAAGGATTCCGTTGAATTCGTCTTTCATAATGCCAAGTACCTTCTTATTGACTTGAGGAATGCCGTAGATGTTGGTAGGATGATAATCCGAGGTATCGAAGCGCTGATAGCAATCACGCTTGATTACTTCATAAGGATCTTGTCCAATAATTTCGTATATCAGGCTGTCGATATCAGTATAAAGAACTGAGCAATCATGAAATGTGGAAGACATATAGTCATAGTGGAAGTCATATAGAGTAGTCTTAGCTAAGTCTAAAATAGCTTGGCCAACGTAAATAGGTTTGTTGAGATAGATTTGAAGTTTCCTCAACTCCACAGCTTCTAAATTTTCATTGAAGACTATACAGTATTTGAATTCAGGTTTGAAAATATATGACTCAGCTCCATATCTCCCATTCCACTCAGTTGACAGCTTGACGTTGACTATCTTCCTGATGTTTTCCATCGTCTTGCCGAAAACAGCATTGTTCATGAGTTTGAAAAGATTTTTCTCAAACATGTTTCGTTGACGTTCTATCAATGTCACGTTTTATCAATGTCACGTTTTGTTAATGTCACGTTTTGTCAATATCATGTTTCGTTGACGTTCTATCAATATCACGTTCAGTCAATGTCACGTTTCGTTGTGGTACGTTCTGTCAATATGACGTTTCGTTGTGTCACGTTTCGTCAATATGACGTTTCGTTGTGTCACGTTCTGTCAATATGACGTTTCGTTGTGTCACGTTCTGTCAATGTCACATTTGGTTGTGTTACGTTCTGTCAATATGACGTTTCGTTGTGTCACGTTTCGTCAATATGACGTTTCGTTGTGTCACGTTCTGTCAATATGACGTTTCGTTGTGTCACGTTCCGTCAATATGACGTTTCGTTGTGTCACGTTCTGTCAATATGACGTTTCGATGTGTCTCGTTCTGTCAATGTCACGTTTCGTTGTGTTACGTTCTGTCAATATGACGTTTCGTTGTGTCACGTTTCGTTGTGTCACGTTTCGTCGATATGACGTTTCGTTGTGTCACGTTCTGTCACGTTTTGTCAATATGACATCTCACATGCCAAATACACCATCTCACCCGCCAAACACAACATCTCACCTGCCAAATACACCATCTCAATCACCAAACACACCATCTCACCCGCCAAACACACCATCTCAACCGCCAAATTCACCATCTCACCCGCCAAACACAACATCTCACCTGCCAAATACACCATCTCAATCACCAAACACACCATTTCACCCGCCAAACACACCATCCCAACCGCCAAACACACCATCTCAACCGCCAAACACGTCATCTCAACCGCCAAACACGTCATCTCACCCGCCAAACACATCATCTCACCCGCCAAACACATCATCTCACCCGCCAAACACATCATCTCACCCGCCAAACACATCATCTCACCCGCCAAACACGTCATCTCAACCGTCAAACACATCAACTCAACCGCCAAACACGTCATCTCAACCGCCGAACACGTCATCTCAACCGCCAAACACGTCATCTCAACCGCCAAACACGTCATCTCAACCGCCAAACACGTCATCTCAACCGCCAAACACGTCATCTCAACCTCCAAACACGTCATCTCAACCGCCAAACACGTCATCTCAACCGCCAAACACGTCATCTCAACCGCCAAACACGTCATCTCAACCGCCAAACACGTCATCTCAACCGCCAAACACGTCATCTCAACCGCCAAACACGTCATCTCAACCGCCAAACACGTCATCTCAACCGCCAAACACGTCATCTCAACCGCCAAACACGTCATCTCAACCGCCAAACACATCAACTCAACCGCCAAACACGTCATCTCAACCGCCAAACACGTCATCTCAACCGCCAAACACGTCAGTCACGTTCTGTCAATATGACGTTTCGTTGACACTATGTCATTGTCACGTTTCGTCGATATGACGTTTCGTTGTGTCACGTTTCGTTGTGTCACGTTCCGTCGATATGACGTTTCGTCAATGTCACGTTTCGTCAATGTCACGTTTCGTCAATGTCACGTTTCGTCAATATGGCGTTTCGTTGTGTCACGTTCTGTCAATATGACGTTTAGTTGTGTCACGTTCTGTCAATGAGACGTTCTGTAAATGTCACGTTTTGTCAATGTCACGTTCCGTCTATATCATGTTTCGTCGACGTTCTATCAATGTTACGTTCAGTCAATGTCACGTTTTGTCAATGACACGTTTCGTCAATATCATGTTTCGTTGACGTTCTGACAATGTCACGTTCCGTCAATGTCACGTTTTGGCAATGTCACGTTTCGTCAATATCATGTTCCGTTGAAGTTCTGTCAATGTCATGTTTCGTTTATTATTGATTCAAAATGAATATTTCTCAAAATTAGATGAATCTCTGATCCAACAGTAATGGTATTTTCTCTGGACATTCTCTTAATCGTGAGGTGACGCTTTATAATCGACAAACTCACGTTCTGTCAATGTCACGTTTTGTCAATGTAACGTTTCGTCAATATCATGTTTCGTTAACGTTATGTCAATGTCACGTTCTGTAAATGTCACGTTTTGTCAATGTCACGTTCCGTCAATATCATGTTTCGTTGACGTTCTATCAATGTCACGTTCAGACAATGTCACGTTTTGTCAATGTTACGTTTCGTCAATATCATGTTTCGTTGACGTTCCGACAATGTCATGTTCCGTCAATGTCACGTTTTGACAATGTCGCGTTTCGTCAATATCATGTTCCGTTGACGTTCTGCCAATGTCATGTTTCGTTTATTATCAATTCAAAATGGATATTTTTCAAAATTAATTAAATCTTTGATCCAACAGTAATGGTATTTTATCTTGACATTCTCATAATCGTCAGGTGGCGCTTTATAATCGACAAACTCACGTTCTGTCAATGTCACGTTTCGTCAATGTCACGTTTCATCGATGTAACGTTTTGTCAATGTCATGTTCTGTCAATATGACGTTTCGTTGTGTCACGTTCTGTCAATATTACGTTTTGTTGTGTCACGTTTCGTCAATGTCACGTTCTGTCAATGTAACGTTTCGTCAATGTCACGTTTCATCAATGTCACGTTTTGTCAATGTCATGTTCTGTCAATATGACGTTTCGTTGTGTCACGTTCTGTCAATATTACGTTTTGTTGTGTCACGTTCCGTCAATGTCAATTTTTGTCAATGTCACGTTTTGTCAATGTCACGTTCCGTCAATGTCACGTTTGAACCATGTCACGTTCCGTCAATGTCACGTTTTATCAATGTCACGTTCCGTCAATGTCACGTTTCGTTGTGTCACGTTCTATCAATATGACGTTTCGTTGACACTCTGTCATTGTCACGTTCTGTCAATATGGCGATTCGTTGTGTCAAGTTCTGTCAATATGACGTTTCGTTGACGCACTGTCAATGTCACGTTTTCTCAATATGACGTTTCGTTGACGTTCTGTCAATGCGAGTTTCACACTATACTTTTTCTATGACTAAATATGACATCATAATTATTCATATTTGACAGACAAGCTGAATAAATATGATGAGCCATGAATCATTTTAACAGAGTCAATTGTATACAAGGTAAAAGCTATGTGGTGAATCATTTGAATGTGAGATGTGAGGATTATCGAATTAAGACAGTTCACGTTCAGTCAATACCACGTTCCATCAATATCACGTTCTGTCAATACTACGTTCTGTCAATACCACGGTGCGGGAAGAGTCTATCGTTTCCTTCTTGAGTAAAGGAGCAGCAACAGTTCTAGATCAATACAGGTCATTTTTCCCCAGATTCTACCGAAATTTACAGTGTTGCCATTCGAAAGCCTCATAAGAGCACGTGTGTTAGAGAGAGATGAAAGATATGATTTTTCCGTAGATCTACCTACTTTTTTAAGGTCCCAAAACGTCAAAATTGGCTCAAAAAGTGGTGGGGGGCCCGGCTAGTCAATCAGAAGGGACCAGGCCCCGCCCCTTCATATTTGGCAGGAAATTCAAATTTGACAGTTGACCTAACCTAACCTAACATTTGAGCCTCCTTTGCGACCCCTTAGGCCTCCTTGGCGCCCCCTCAGGCCCCTTTGCGCCCCCCATGTGGCCCCTTCCTTGGTGCCTCCTAAGGCCTCCTTTGCGGGCCCCTTTGTGCTGGTGTCGTAAGTGTCGCTGTACTACCGAGCGGCGGTAAATTCAAATATTTGAAATTGTGCGTCGTCATCATCGTGAATGTCGCTAGTGTCGCTGTGCCATTGGTCGGCGGAAAATTCAAATATTTGAATATTTAATACGTCGTCATTATCGTCTCTAGAATAAATATTTAATAAAAAAAGCTACTCATCGTGTCGGGATTGGAACCGGAGACCTACAGATTACGAGTCCGCAGCGTAGCCATCTAAGCTACCGACCACCACATGATATTATTAGAAGTTGGAAAGTAGACATGCGGCCGCGAAGCGTGACGTAGCGACGCAGATTCGCGCGGTGCGGCGTTGTCAGACGTTACAAGAAATCTCGAGATCCTGTTGCATGTGCATGTTGCCATTTTCCGGTGTGGAGAGAGCGCGACGTAGTCGAGGTAGGTCCGCGGTCATCGCGCTGCGCGGCGTTGCCAGACGTTGCAAAAAATCTTGAGATCCTGTTGCATGTGCATGTTGCCATTTCCAGTGTTTTCCACACTTAGCAGATTCGCAATGAGGCATTTGACGTATGACATAATGAAGGATGTCTCGTGGTGCATGTTGCCATTTTCCGGTGTGGAGAGAGCGCGACGTGGTCGAGGTAGGTCCGCGGTCACCGCGCTGCGCGGCGTTGCCAGACGTTGCAAAAAATCTCGAGATCCTGTTGCATGTACATGTTGCCATTTCCAGTGTATTCCACACTTAGCAGATTCGCAATGAGGCATTTGACGTATGACATAATAAAGGATGTCTCGTGTTAGAAAAAAACATATACAGTACGTCTCATCGTTAAAGAAAAAAAAATGGCGGCTGCTTGTCAAATGTCAGGTTATGGAGTCTCCGTGTTAGAAGAAAAATGTAATGCTGTTTGTCAACGCATCAAGATGGCTACCATGACGTCGCATGACAGGTGGGGTCTCTTCAGATGTTTACATAAAAGATTTGCTATACATGGTGTCTCAGGAACATGTTGAAAAACGTATATAGGGTGTCTCATCGTTTAAACATGGCGGATGTTTGTCAACGCATCAAGATGGCAACCATGACTTCACATGACAACTGGCAGGAGGGGTCTCATCAGATGTTTACATGAGAGATGAAAATAAGCACTTCCGGTTTGAAAAAATCAAGAGCATTGAACTACACAATAATGGAACGTCAGGCCTCTTTGGTGGACAGCTGTTTAGCTCATCATTGAAGAGATAGCTGGAGGGGGCGTAATAGGTGACGTATACTTAGAGGATTTTTTCATTAGTTTCTCATTGAAAAGATGGCTATACAGAAGTTCAATACTATACTTTCTCTACACCTATAGGGTGAAGCAAGGTCAAAGTCGAAAACATATACAGAGCGGCTAGAAAAGTATAAGGCGACCGAAAAAAATATACGAGGTGGGTCAAATGACTTTTTCACTTGTAGGCCTCCGATTTCGATAGTTTTCGAGTATGTAGTGTGGTTCAGAGGTACGATTAGGAAAATTATGTTAAAAAGGCATGTTAGATATATTTTTTGAGCTAGAGCATCGAGTGATATGTCAAATCAAATGGTTCGATGTACAGGTCGAGAATCTGAAGTTGTTTCGTATGTAGGTGCTATAGGGAGGCGGGTAATCACGATAATCGTATCTCAAACTCATTTGGTCGAGGAAATAAAACCTGTACAGCATTACTTAGTGCCAATACAATACAAAAGTATCAAAATTTTCCTTATCGCACTCAGATCTATGATTCCTCGAGATCTGAGTGCGATAAGAGATTCAACTACACCAACGGCTTTCTTCGATCTTGTGCAACACTTTGCAACACGAATCACTCCAACCAAGTGTCTAATAAGCTAGCTGGAAGCTGAATCCGGTCTCCACTTCCGATTTCGATAATTTTGGTATCAATGGATTCGTCTCGATGTCAAGATTCATAATTAAGCATTTATCGACGTCAAAAATGTATAGGAAGCTAATTTCTTTGCTATTGAAGATAGCAGACCATGCGGGTACTCTAATGAAACGATTTCTCCCTTAGATGTTGATTATGACTTCAAAAATAACGTGATGAGATTCCCAACGATGATGAGCATGACGATGAGCATGAGTGTAAGATGATGACTCACGTTTTCAACGTTTTTCGTTATATGTCAGGTTGGTCGATCGGTTAAAGGCGCCTAAGTTGAACTCCGGTTCCGAAATGATACGTGGGTTCGAATCCCAAACCTGACAATTTTTTGGACGTTTGACCTATGACATTTAACGCTTCCACTCTCGACGTTTGACGTTTTTGACGTTTCGTCGTTTCGACGTTTGACGTTTCTGTGACGTTTTCGACGTTTGACGTTTTCGACATTTGCAACGTTTGACGTTTTCAACGTTTGACGTCTGTGACGTTTGACGTTTCCGACGTTTGCGATGTTTATGACGTTTGATGTTTTGACGTGTTGACGTTTTCGCCGTTTAAATGTTTCTGTATATCTTATCAAGATGTTGTGGACGGAATGGCGTGCAAGAAATGCAAAACTTTTGGTTATTGCGTCTGCGCATGTAAATCGAGACGCAAAAACAGAATACTTGAATGTTTTGTGGCAGTTTTCACATGGCTGCGGCAGAGTATAAACAACAGCTGGAAGAATTCCAGAAGAAATTAAGTGCACTCTACGTGACAATAAAACTTTACGAAGATAAACATTTAATG